GCTTGGTGAGATATTGATATGAGTTGAGGCATAGATTAACCCTAATATTAATGATGTATATACAGAGGATAATCGACTAATTAATCCCATCTTTCCTATTCCTACAAGACAACAGAGGTCTAATACTCCTAGGATTAAGAAGAGCTAGCACTATGTACGAGCCTGCTTCAAAAGGGTTAGTTGCAAAAAGGACTATTTGCACTTTAATGCTCCAAAATTTCGGAGTATTAATAATTTGAAAGTTTAAGAAATTATACTTATTATTTAGATAGAACTCTATTTACAATTGTTATCCTTTCACATGCAACATCACATACTAATATATATAAGTTAAGAAATTGTAATTATTTTCATAGCACTTTCGTCACCTTCAATAGGTATGTGCTTTTATTATTTTCTTCTTATTATATTAGATTAGATTATTTTTAAAATAATTAATTATATTATATGTTTGTACGTTTGAACTTTTCTTTTTCAGACCAAGAAATTGTAACAATTTTATAACACTTTCATCTCATTCAACATGTACATGGTTTTGTTATTTTCTTCTTATTAGATTAGATTAGATTGTTTAAAAAGTAGTGAATATTGTTCTTCTTTTAGATTGTTTAAATTTTGTGATCCTAGAATCCCTATACTTATGCATGGAACATACTTTTTAGATTGTTTATTATATTGTACAATTAATCTAAGTAATGTCATATAGTATGTATAGTACAAAAGGTAGAATATTGAATTATGGCTTTCTGTTTTGTTATTGATGTTATTTTGATCTTTGGCTGGGTTCTTCCACTGTAGGGATGTATAGGTCTCACATTTTAATCAGTTTGATCTCTAATCTTTTATCTTGCGAGGTTAACTTCCACCTTTCTCTATTTTGAATTTTCTAGATTTGACTAATAAATTTGTTCAAGTTAAATCGTAAAGTATTTTTATTTTTGCATTTTATAGCGCTGTCAGCCTGAAAATAAATCATGCAAATATGCAAAGCATGCGGCGTCCATGAAACTTGTGACATGCTCAATTGCTCCCTCCATTCTTAATTTAATCTACTAATAGTTTATGAACTATATAAAAAATTAGTGCCCTACCTATATTACTTTATGTTGTTTTTCAATCTTGACTCTAATTATGCGGATATCCAATATTTGGTTAAGATAGAAAAGTGCATCTTGAGCGCTTGCTCAAAGACACATACCTATATTACTTTAATAAAAGCAAATTAGTGCCCTACCTATGTTCTGTATGTTGTTTTCCAATCTTATTTGCTATGGTAGTTAACTTTTCTTATAGAACTATTGTTATGACTCCTATGAGGACAATAGCCGTTATATATAGTAATTAATTAAAAGTATGAGTTTGGAAAAAAAATTCGGTAGACTAAAATATCATTAGAATTCAAATACTAATCTATTAAGTAAGAGTAACTTGATAAATTAATGAATTCTTTTTGGATATACATAATATGAAGATAATGATATAGTTTAAATTAAAATGTAAACCTAAATGAAATTATTAAATGTTAAATTTATAAATGTATAGAAGATGAAGGGTGTATATGCAAAAACCAAACAAAATAACAAGTAAAATAATGTCTGCCCAAAGGTCAAACTCAGGAACATCGCAGACCTACAAGTGTACATAATATGGATGGTATATTTGCAAAATCCAACAAACAAATTAAAGAGACAAGTTATTCTCAAAATTATAAAGAAGGAAAATTAAAACAAACAACTGAGCTCTGAGGACACAACGTGACGATCTCTCACCGACTAAAATTCAAGTAGTTCACGGTACTACATAATTAGTTTCAAAGTTTAATTATACTATTATTATTTAAAAAGAACTCTATTTACAATTGTTATCCTCTCACATGCAACATCACATAACAATATACATAACCTAAGAAATTACAAAAAAAATTATAGCAATTTCATCTCCTTCTACATATATGTGCTTTTGTTATTTTCTTCTTATTAAATTATATTAGATTATTTTAAAGCAATTAATTATATTATATATTTAATTTTTTATATCAAGAAATAACAAGAATTTTCACAGCACTTTCATCTATTTTCTTCTTATTAGATTAGATTATATTACTTTAAAATAATTAATTATATTGTATGTTTGATCTTTTTTTAGATTAAAAATTTTAATACTTTTTTAGCATTTTTATCTCCTTCAGTAAATATATGGCTTTGTTATTTTCTTCTTATTAGATTAGATTGTTTAAAAATTATAAATTATGAAATTGGAACAATTTTTACATTACTTTCATCTATTTTCTTTTTATTAGATTAGATTAGATTATTTTAAAGCAATCAATTATATTGTATATTTGATATTTTTTGCAAATCACATAGTTTAGTTTTACTATTATTATTTAAATAGATACTATAGATACTATTTGTATAAAAGTCAAAGAGAATCTCACACGTATCTTAGATCTCAATATCAATTGTAATAATTACATATAGGTGTTGGTTAAAATAAATTTCAAGTATGACCTTAACTTATAGGATCCTACTTAATCGGATTAGATAATTTATTTTTTTACACCCAAACTCTTCCATAAAACCAAAAGAGAGTAGCAATGCTATATGTATACATATCCACAGGACCACATATCTTGAAAATGAACGAAGAAAACCACACAAACAAAAATAATATTAATTACCCCCCACACACACACTATTTTCTAAACCACCCTTCTGCATCTCCATCTATAGTATATCCTTATACCCAAATTAAGCTGTTGGAGTTTCCCCCTCACCAACTACACCATTGATAAACCCCTCATTTTTTCTTTGTACTTAAATTGTATAACATCCATTGCGATGAGGACTCACATGGGTCCTCTGCCTGCCTTGAACACCCAATAAAATAAATAATGTATTACGCCATGTGGTTAGTTAATAATGATACTGTCATTATAAACAAATTAAGTAAATATTAATAATTCTTAAGAATGTATTACGTTGCCCAAGCTTCCACTGCAAATTTGTGAATTGTTTATTCGTGGCCCCAAGAGATTATCAAAAATTAATCTTAAGAGTTGCTTGCATTTAAAATGTTATGTCAGAGGGCTCATACAGTTTGTTTTATAGTTTAAGGTTGTCAACACATTTTGTCTCTGATATATATCAATTATTAGTAATAATTTTGATTGATCCAATTATATCCTAATATATTTCTAGACTCTTGTCTTGCCTTTTGCTCTTTATTATATACCAATTTGATACCACAATTGATGTAGACGATAAAGTCATTACTGTAGAATTGCCTAGAAAAAAGATAAAGGTGGAGAGTGATTGATTTTGGCTCAATTAAATATGAAAAGAAGAATGAATAAAGGATAATATTAATATTCTTTGAATATTTTATAGTAAAACTTAAATTTTTGAGTAAAATTAAGAATCTTTAAAAGGGATTTTCATGCAAAATGTTTAATATGCTTATGTGAATGATTTTATCATATAAAATTATAGTAGAGTCACCATTAATCTTTAGTATTAATTTTTTTTATTTTAAGTCTATCACTAATTAAGATGTCTTACATTTAATGACTAAGATAAACAAATTGGAGATCGATGATTTGATCCGATAAACAAATATGTTACATAAAGTTTGATATATACAAATTTTAAAAAATAATATAGTGTATGCAAGTATATAAAAGTACATTGATCTCAGTTTTATACACAAATCTATTTCATAATTTTTTTAAAAAATATTTAAATAAAATTTATGGCAAATATAATAAACCATATTTATAGATTTTAACTCAAAATGAATCTTGCTTGTTTTATAGTAAGAAAATTGCATGATATGAAGAGTCTTTTTATATATATAAATGAGTGGATAGAAATTTTGGTGGACAAAGACTTGGTGTCCACTTAAGTTGACATAAGTTCTACTCTCTCTCTATATATTAATGGATATCTTTGTTAAGGAGGAGATTTCCCTCCTTGACAATGATGTGGCACAATCCCCATGGTGGGGATTTCTCTCTCCTACTTTATTCACACCGTGGGTATTGTGTCACATCATTGTCAATGAGGGAAATCCCCTCCTTAACAAGGATACCCATTAAGATATCTCTCTCTCTCTATATATATCCCCTCCTTGACAATGATGTTCCCTCCTTAACAAGGATACCCATTAATATCTCTATATATATATGCCCTCCTTGACAATGATTTGGCACAATCCCCATGGTGGGGATTTCTCTCTCCTACTTTATTCACACCATGGGGATTGTGTCACATCATTGTCAAATATATATATATATAACCTTGATTTTGTTATTTCGGACTTCAATTCGTACAACTCATGAGAAATGTGGTTAGTATGAGGATGATGAATTGAGAAATGATTTAAAACAATGATACAACGTCAATATGGCAACTATAAGATTTGCTTGTTGTGGAGTCAACTACTGTCAGATGATGAAGAAGATTCGAAGATGGCAAACTCGCGTAACAAATTCAAAATTTGTATATTATATACATTTTTTAACATGTTGCACTATAAGTTTGATAAATATGATTTTCTAGAAGAATGATGAAGGAGAAGATGATACTGAAGGCAATATGCTGGTGATCGTAGTATTTGACTTCAGAATACTAGCTCATTTTTCTGTGATCCCCATCTTAGAGATGACTAGTGTTTTACCTTACGAGAAAAACTTCATTTCGGAAGAAATTTTCTCAGTATCCTTTGGACATCATAAATCATGGGCTTTTAAAATCAACAATTAACGTAAGAGTTTTACCACCCATATGTAGTTTCTTTGCAATGGTACTGCAAACACTGTTTGATCTTACTTAAAAAATCATATGGCTCATTGTTTGATGTCCTTAACCAAGTGTTATCTCCATGCATTAAGTGGCTAGGACCTTAGTTTGTTATTTTTCTCTGAATAACAGGGATTTTATTTTATGGTCAATATGTCCCTGCCATACCAACAGTTTCTCAGTTTTGTGTCGTTATTGTAGGATGCAACTGGCAATCAGCCTGCTGAATCTGCTTCCAAAACTCATGTTCTAGAAGAGAACACTGAGGTTGTTACCCCAGCTGGAGGACAGAAATCAGGTTGTTTGTCTTTTAGAGAAGTCTATTATTGTTTTAAATGTTTTCTTTCTTTCATCACCTTTTGAAATATAAATTAGGGCCCCATCTCGAGTGCAAAATACTAGAATTTGATGATTTCCTAGTCTGAAATTAATTGTCACTTAATTTTAATTTGAACTTTGCTTGAAGTGCTAAAATCTTCGGACTCCAATTGTTTTTCGTTGGATGTTATTGAAAAGTATTGATGTTACTGGGTATGCTTTTGGAGCCACATGATTATTACATTAGATTTCTGAAACTGATTCAACTGAGTTTCAACTATCCTTACAAATGATGTTGGAAGCAATTGTTAAGCGAAATTCAACTGCCTAACATCAATTCCCTTCTATTAAAATGGGGGACCAAATTCAAAAGATGGATATGCATTTTGTTATAATATATCTTTAGCTCTGCTCACTGGTTTGCAGGTTGGGATGGAAACAGTGACAAGCCGAAGGAGCATAGTTCTAATTTTATTATTTCGCGTCGATCCAGTCCACCAAATAAGGCTTGGGAAACTCACTTGTTCTGGAGTAATTTCATCTCTCTTTCCTGTTCATCTAAGTTTCAAATTTTCTTTGTCTAATCTTTGTGATCTGTCATCGAGTGACCAGTTTGATGCTTGAATTGAATTAGCTAGGGTTTCAGATTCTATCCCATGAGCTCGTAGATTTGTTTTTTGTTTTTCCCCTTTTCTTATGCTTAGGATTTCAGATTTTGTAATTGGATCATCTAATTCTCCAAAGTGGGCTACTTGTCTTTCCAAGTTTTGTAGACTATTACATTCATAGAATATTTTATCCAGATCTCTTTTTATAGAGCTTGTTGTTTTCAAATTAAGTTACTTTTACTCCTTGGGATGCTGGTAATTTGCTGAAGGTGGGGCTGATGTTTCTTTTTGCTCTGTTGTTTATGGGGTTAAGGAAAAAGATGAACACTGCCATCTAGTCTATTTTATTTAACATTTTTTGCTTTTGTAGAGAACATTTCTATGATTTAATTTATTAAGCTGGTCAGGATTTTGGAGAAATGAAATTTGATTTTGTTTTATTTACTGCTGCAATCAGTTATGATTTCCATTTTGTCTTTGATTTCTCCACGATTTTCTGTTATGTTTTGATAGTTGTCGACTTGTTACATCATCTAAAATTTCTTACATTATGCTTAAGTTTGGATTTTAAAAAATTTGAACCTTTTCAGGTGCAAGAGTGCAGGGTGGAATGCATATTGAATACACACCTGAAGCTGATATGATTGTGCACCTTTCACATGTGAGTTATGCTCTTGATTAGTCTTTCATAGCTTATTAGGTAATCTTGCGTGTCTTACCTTCCATCTGTCTAATGTAGGCTTCACTTGGAAAATCAAAGGATGATGGAGACGTGCATATATATGTGGAAGTTGATTGTGACAAGTCACTTATTGGAATTCTTTCTCCAGGAAAATGCACCCAGATACCGCTGAATTTATTTTTACATAAAAGTTTCCGTTTATCTCACTCCAAGAATACTTGTGTCTACTTTTTTGGTGATGAATGCCTTCAGCCAGATGAATATGGATATCCTTTATCATGTACTTGATTTGCTTTCTGCATCAAGAGTCTATGATGTTTTTAAAATTTAAGTTGTCTTTTCTTGACTGTTTCTGTCTTCCACTTCCGCTGATTATTCTGGTGAGGAATTTAATTTTATTTATCTTTTCCTTGCTATGTATTTATTTCCGAGTCTCTCGTCATATATTTCTTGCCATGGGTCTCATCATATTTTGCTTTGGCTTTCCAGAGAATGAATTGGACGATGAAGATGCTCCTGGAGCTAAAAATGCAACTGGTACCTTATGCTATTCATATTAATTTTTAAGTCCACTGATTAGGTGCTAAATACATTTTATGTTTTGGTTTTTAAACTTTATGTTCCTGTTGCTGCGGACTATTAGCTTACTTTCTTTAACTTCATCTTTGTGCTATCCAAGAACTGTGATGATTGCAAATTTTCTTTCGAAACATGCCATTCTTTGACCTTCAAACATACCATATTGTTCTGGGCTTGTTTTTTTTTTTTAAAATAACACCTTATATTGTTTTGATTAAAGTCATAATGTGAACAGTCAAATTTTCGAGGTAAATTCTATACATAAGGTTCTCCATGTGAAACGGGTGAGCATGAAATGCACTCCATAAAGATATCACAGTAACTTCGGTTGTCTTTTGGTATTATGTGCACACGCGATTTTTTGCTAGAGAGTCTAGAGACAGTTGTTAAACTTTCCTGCTCTCTGCAGCTTGCGCAAATGCCGTGATTCAATTTTTTTTTTCCGGTCTGAAATCAAGTCATTCTATTGCAATTTGAACTTTACTTTGGGTGCTAAAATCTTTTAACTCTATTTGTTGGATGTAATTGGATATGTTTTTGGAGCTGCGTGATTATTGCATTAGATTTCTGAAACTGATTTAACAAGATTCAACCGTCCTTCACCAGCCAAATGAGGTTGGAAGTATATATCTACATGAAAGTCAACTTCCTAACCTCAATTCCCTTCTTTTGAAATGAATGGCCAAATTTAACTAATGGATTTGCAATTCTTCATAGAGGATCTTCAGCTATCTCTACTGACTGGTTTGCAGGTGGTGATGAAAAAAGTGACACGTCAAAGAAGCGGACGCCTGAATCCATCGACTCTGAACTTTTAAAGTTGCATGGAAGGTATTCGTTCATTTCCTACGAACTATTAGATGTACTCTTTTGTCTTTTTGTTCCATGCTCTAAAGTATTACTTTTTTGTTAAGAGTTCCTATTTATCTTTTAAAAGTTAATGACTTGGGTGTTTAATTTATTTCATAAATTTGCCTTCCAAGTAATCCGGATTTCTGAATAGACACTTGGTTTATCTGCAGGAATTTCGATTCTGAAACTGTTCTTCCAGCTGACAAGAAAGCCAAGCGTGATGAGCAACTTTAAGCGGTCCGGGTGGGTTTCTAAATGTGCAGTTAGTTTATGTCCAGGAATTTCGATTCTGTAACTATTCTTCAAGCTGATATGAAAGCCAAGCAGTGTTGCAGCTACTGAGGAGATTTTACTTGTAAAACATATTTGTTATGACCAATATGTGGTCCTAAGAGCTCTGTTGATGATATCTTCAAGCTTGATTGAGTTTTCTGGAAGTTACTTTCATTCTGTGAGCTTTTGCTTCTCCTAAGTATCTTCATCTCTGTGTAGCTTAGGGTTTAGAAGCAAATCATTTTTTATCATGAAGCGTGGTCGTTCAGGTCTTTGGACGTGACCAGCCATTTAAATGATGTTTTTGTATTGTTTGAGAAGTACGTTTGCTACCCGTTGGAAAGTGGGGTTCTCTTGTTTGATACTATGAAATATTGGGATGCACAATTGGAGTCGCGAAAATAGATCTTAGTATTTTTTTTTTTCTTGGAGTCGCAAAACCACAAACTCAAAATCGGTTTTTCGCCAACTTCTTCCATTAGGCTGTGTTTGGGAACATGGATTTGGGCCCTGGATTTTAAATCCAAGGTATTTCAAATCCAAATCCCTAGTTTGGGCTACAAAACTGTGCTGGAATTTCAAATCCAATTATTTTAAAGAGAGAATTTGAAAGCCCAAAACCCCGTATTTGAAATCCTACCCTACCCCTTGTCATTTACCAAATCCCGATCCCAAACTCCTCTCTTGTTTCTCAGCTCCGACGATCCCCGACTCCTCCTCTCTCTCGTTTCTCAGCTTCGACCGATCCCGACTCCTCCTCTCTCTCGTTTCTCAGTCACGATCTCGAATCTCTCTCTCTCAACGCAGCAACGCAGGTATCCCCTTCTCCTCTCTCGTTGAAACCCTAGATCTGATCTAGGGTTTCAGTCTCCCCCTTACTCCTCTCTCTCCCCCTTCCATCGAAACCCTAGTTCTGACTTGGATCCGGCGAGGTAAGAAGCAAATTTTTGCTTGGTAACTCTGCATCGTGCGTTAAAGAAGAACATATGACCATCTTCCCGCCAACTTGAGCTTTTGAAAGAGATCACTTGTAGCAGAATGCACCCCCTTTGGTTCCAACATCCATATAGACAAGCTCAAGCTCTCTCCCGCTAGCTTTGGAATTAATTTTATTTCAAAATTGGCGTTAAATTAAGAAAAATTTGAAAAATAGGAACATGATTTAAATTTTCCAATTTTATTAAAGTTAGATTTTTGTAGTAATTTTTTTTAAAATATCAATCTATATTATACATAAAATTGCCAGCGTGAATTTGGGACATAAATTTGGTAATTTAAAGTTTTTTGAAAGAAGAAATTTCTAAATTAAACCCATTCCGACTTTTAAAAAAAAATCGCCCCACTCCTGTTTAATTTATAGGAATCGACCCACTCCTGTTTCATATTTGAATTTGATTTTTTTAAGGTTCTTCTCTTTTCTTCTGATAATATTGCTTTAGGTGCTTTTGGACTCCAATAATCAGTTATAGTAATACCATCTAGTACATCGTACAATCGCAAGAATCATTCAACTCTTTGGTCATTATTCCCTTTAAAGACAAAGACTACATAAAGCATGCAGATTTCGCACTATAAGGATATCCAATCACTTCAATAGACATTTACTTCACACAAAAACTTATGATAATGATACTATCATTTAGGGGTGAAAATGAACCAAATAATTAACAAATAGTTTGATAATTGTTCGAATAACTATTCGGGCATATTCGATTCGGTAGTTCATTTACCACTAAACAAATATTTTTAGTATTCGAGTTTAATAACGAATAGAATTTAAACAGATGTATATTCGATTCGTTTGTCTATTAAATATTCGTTTAAAATTTGATCACAAATTATTATTTGTATTATTGCACATATGATGTCATTTTTTTTAACTCATTTATCATTTCTACTTAAGTTTTATATACTGATTTTAAGACTTAAATACTCTTAAATCTATTTTCTAATTAAAATTTTAATTTAAATATATACATCATATATTATAAAGAAATAATTTTTATTTATAAATTTTAATAGTATTTGAAAATCAAATTTTTTAGCAGAATAAATATACTTTGATATTCAATAAGTATTCGTAAATATTCATGAATATTTATCAAATACCAAGTATTCGAGTTCGAATTCGAAAAACTTGATATATGAATATTAGAGTCCGCATTCGAATTCGATAATTTTAAACAAATATAAATACAAACACCTTAGTATTCGATTCGATTCGATCGTTTACCACCCCCTGCTATTATTAAATACTTTTATATTCCCAAAAGTGTTTTCCCATTTTTAGAAAACCCACTAAACTTATAGTCTAAAATAACAATATTATTAAATAAGATCTTTCAAAAATGACAACATATAAGTATTGTGAAAACATTTATTTCTTACTCCGAGTTTAATGGACTTCATAATCATAGTTTTTATATTCTTTAACTAAAGACGGAGATTCTTACAACAGGGACTTATAATAGAAATGGATTTGATGGAAGTCATTATGTTGGAGAAAGTAAATGAAATGTAACCGTCAGGAGGTACTAAAAGACAAACTAGAAAAGGGGACAGAATTCTATAGTTGATAAGCTAATATATACTAATGAAAATATATTCTTTTATCATTAGAAAAAGAAGAGAATAAGTAATATTTTTTTATTCACTGAACTATGTCTAATAATTTCACTATTACAACAAACAAACTAGAAAATGGGACAGAATTCTATAGTTGATAAGCTAATATATACTAATGAAAATATATTCTTTTATCATTAGAAAAAGAAGAGAATAAGTAATATTCTTTTATTCACTGAACTATGTCTAATAATTTCACTATTACAACAAACAAACTAGAAAATGGGACAGAATTCTATAGTTGATAAGCTAATATATATTAATGAAAATATATTCTTTTATCATTAGAAAAAGAAGAGAATAAGTAATATTCTTTTATTCACTGAACTATGTCTAATAATTTCACTATTACAACAAACAAACTAGAAAATGGGACAGAATTCTATAGTTGATAAGCTAATATATACTAATGAAAATATATTCTTTTATCATTAGAAAAAGAAGAGAATAAGTAATATTCTTTTATTCACTGAACTATGTCTAATAATTTCACTATTACAACAAACAAACTAGAAAATGGGACAGAATTCTATAGTTGATAAGCTAATATATATTAATGAAAATATATTCTTTTATCATTAGAAAAAGAAGAGAATAAGTAATGTTCTTTTATTCACTGAACTATTTCTAATAATTTCACTATTACAACAAACACTCAAAAATCTTTCAAATACTTTACTCCACCCCCCCCCCCCCCCCCCCCCCCCCCCCCCCCCCCCCCCCTTCACTGTCGTTTTCATGTCGATAGACTATTTTGAAAGTTAAAAAAAATTGTATGAACACATGCAATGCACGTGCACTATGTTGCTTTTATTAAACTCATATATAAAAATGTAACTGTAGGCGTCAAAAACTGTCTATAGATTATCGTACGTAGCTCAAGACAGAGAGAAAACGATAAACGTCATCATCTAAGTTGCAGAGGATCATCCAAAGCAAAAAAATCAACTAATGATGCAACAGAAGCGCGCTGCACGAATTTTGAGATACTAAAACATATCTTGGAAAAATCATAACCTCCGAGACAGTTACAACTATCTCGGAAACTTTGAAGAGGCTGACACATTTACGAGACAGTCGCAACTGTCTCGGATGCATGAAAGAAGTGAACC